GATACTACATTATATTTCCGTTTTTGGACAAACAATATGACAATCTCTTATGATCTTTAATTAATGATAAATAGATCAAAGTTTGAAATCAAAATTTGAGATGAATAATATAATATAAATTACATTATTTAAAAGATTACAAAATTTTATATTATTTAGTAATTGACTTTATTAATTTTTTTAAGATTTATAATATTATATACATTAACTAATTTAATAACTAACATAAACTACATCATTAATCTTAAATTTTTATTTTAAATTTTCGTTCTTTCAATTATTACTCTTAATTATAAGCATTTTGATAGGAATAGAATTATAGAAACTCAGCAAGGGTGACAAGACAAGACAGAAGGAGGCCCTTCGCCGGTTAATTTGTCTATTTAAATGAGACAAAAATTTGAAATAAAAAATTGATCCAGATGAATATAATCACATAACATAAATTAAATTATTTAAAATATTAAAAAATAAATTTTAAATTATTTAATAATTAAATTTTATTTTTAATAATTTATTATATTATATATATCAATTAATTTAATAATATAATACAACTCACCTCGTAAACTTTACATTTTTATCCTCTTTATAATTAGTGTCTGCACGTATCAGCCATGATTAAACGCGTGCCCCACCCACCATCGGCCAGCTGAGCTCACCCGTTCTAACCTTGATCGATCACCTGTTACACTCTCTTCTTACAATACAAATCGTTTGATTATTTATTAAGAAATTAAGTTAATGATAATTTTTTTTTATAAAAGTAAAAAATTTAAAATTTAAATATATAAATAAATTTTTTTAAAATTTTTAAAATTTTTATTAAAATAAAATTACTTAACAAAAATTAAGCATAAAAAAATTTTAATTATTATTTATATACTAAAAAAAATTATTACTTAAAATTAGTCATAAAAAATTAATCAATTTATATTTTCGACATATGGTATGGAGTAGTATTAAAAACCTTTAAATTTTCATTTATTTGCATAAAACAAAAAAAAAAAATACTTAGCTTTCTCTTTCACTGTTTTTTTTTTAAGGGATTTAGTGATTTTTTTTTTGACCATGTAGATGGTTAGGAAGTTAATAAAGTTAGTTTGTTAGCAGCTGAAATTTTTTCAGGAAAGTGAACGTTCCACCCCCTCATTTGAGGCGCGCGACCATTAGGTCGCAAGTCGATGGAGTTCACGGCGGTGGCAGAGCTCGAAGTTCAGACCTCCGCCTCACCCAAGCCCTAAAGCTTGGGGGCCAACCAATTGGGCCTTCCACCCCCTCATTTAAGACGCACAACCATTAAGTCGCAAGTTGGTGGAATTCACGGCGATGGCAGAACTCGAAGTCCTGACCTTCACCTCACTCAAGCCTTAAAGTTTGGGGCCAACCAATTGGGCCACAGAGCCGGTTGACTAAAGGGATTTAGTGATGTCAATTCCTTAACTCACATTTCCTAGTCCGTACAACGTATATGACCTAAGCAAAACTCCGATTTCTGTCAACATTGTTTATTGCTTTTCGTAATTATCATAATTGGCTTCTCCCACCAGAGAAATTAGATGGAGTTCTAAATGGTTTCGAGTAGTGTTAATCACGATCTTCCATTAGCAAAATATAAAATAAAATAAAATTACCCTCTGTCCCTCTTATTTCCCTCCTTTTTCCTTCTTCTTTTTATATCGTTCACTAAACTAAAACTCTTTTTCGAGTTGATTCTAGATAAACATAGAAAACAGTTTTTATTATTTGTTTTAAAAGTCGACTTTACTCTAGAACTTGAATTGAATTTAAAAGTTTTAAATTATAATATAATAAATAAATATTTTTATTATAAATTTATATTAAAAAATAAAAATTATCATTTAATTTATTAATTATATAATTAAATTTATTTACTGAATGTGCAGCCCGTGATGGGTTAGTGACCACCCGCTTGAATGCACGGATTAAGACAATATGTCCTGAATTTTAAACTTAGGACTTACTTTCCCTCCTCAAACCAATTATCTTATGTTCCAAAAAAAAAATTATTTACTTAATATTAATAACAAAATTAATATAAATTTTTATTTTTTTATACATTTATGATAAAAAATAATCGGTAACATGTATTACAAAAAGCACCCTTGATATAATCACTCAAACATCAACTAAAAAAACAAATTTAAACATTAAAACTAAAATGTTAGAAATCACAAGATCTAATTTTTCAGGCATCCCTAAACAAACGAGTTTTCAGACATAATAAATACAAAAAAGGAGGCTAGCTTAAGCTACGTGTGTTCGGCCTAGTTCTTTTTCCTATATATCTCTGTAATATGCCAACGCCAAGCAAGCAGGGTGGGGGGCCAACATGACACTTGGATAACGTTAGAGACTTTTGCTTCACTTCTATCCTTGTCACAACATTCCATACAAGCAAGAAAAATTTGCATTTTATCTATCTAAAGCTTCAAATGCCATCATCCTTAATCCTAGGCCGACCACAGGTGCCCGAAAAAATATATATATATATATAAATAATGTTTATCAACTTTATCTCATAAAAATTATGAAGAAAATTATCTAAAAATCATGTCGTTTTAATAAATTTTTATTAAAAAAGACTAAACTACCTTATTTTTAAGGTATATATTAAAGTAATTTTTATCTTTTTTTCACCTAAATTTTTGGAAATAAAACGAAAAAATACTAATCCATAAATATATATATTAAAAACTGGGATTAAACCTTTTTACTAAGAAAACAAGAATGGGCCCCCACCAGCAATCGTGGTGGGCCCTGAACGGGATAACGAGGTGGGATCCACTTGTAATATAGCGACTTCCCTGAGCCTATAATGATCGTGGGCTAGCCCACGCCGGACCATTAGCCGCCACGTACCTCCGAGTCCCCAACACATCATTCCGTTTTATGGGCCCCACTCTCCACTACGGTAGACATGAACCCACCCACCACCCCTCCCCCCTCCGCGCGCAAAACAGAATAGCGAATACCCCACGGCCCACGTGACACAGTCAACACAGCTACCAGCTCCGTAGTCCGTTTCCGCTTTGGGCCTACTAACAGCGTCCAGCTTGAATGGCTCGGCTCGGGCGCTTAGCCTAGCTGGTTTTTTTTTTTTAATTACAATTTAACATGTCTGTATTAATATTTACGTACTTTAAAATTAATTTTAAAAAATTAATTTTAAAAGTATACTGTTATATATTGGCTTATGCATTCAAAGATATTAATTTTTTTTTAAATATTAAACCCAAATCTTAAAATCTAAACAATACTTATTTAAAAGTGATTTCAACATTTAATTTGTTTAGTTGTGTTTTTTCAATGAGTTTTTTTTAAATAAATACTGTAATTTGGAGAAGCGTCGTTGCCTGACATGTACAGGGCGGTTTGTGGGGTCCAGCTCGTGAAAGCTGCCCCGATTACTCAAAAAAAAAAAAAAACAATATATATATATAGAATATTACTTTTGAGAATTTAGGTTGAAAAGAAGATAAAAAAAGTTGCAGACCGACCAACCAGAAGCTCGCGTGCAACTTCTGGTGAGTGAGTTGGACAATATTTTATTTACCAAACCTTAAAAAGGGTTTTCTCATTTGTATTTTTATTATATATTATAATAAATTTTGCACTTTTTTTGCAGTGCTTTGATTATTTCATTTTGGAGCATAGGTGCGAGGACAATTTTGTAGGAGGGAAGAACACATGGGGATGCCAAAGGCGGGGAACATTCAATATTTTCAAATCACTTCTTACCATGTCCTAATGTTTTAATGTGACACCTCCTTTAACTTGAATGTCTCCGTGAATATTTCTTGCTAACAATGTTAAGGAAGTATTTGGTTTAAGGCTTTATTTGAGAGAAGAATTTTGAGCAAAGGTTGCTAAACCAAACATAAAAAGACTTATTATTTGTTTTGTTTATGCTCAAATTCAAAATTTTTAACAAACAAAAAGACTTAAATGTTTGAAAAAAAAAAAAAAAAACTTAAAACTCATAGCCATAACCAAAAGACATTAAAGAACTATATATTATATTAAATTGTATTTCACCTAATTTAATCACCATTGTTTGTCTCTTCATAGAAAATGGAGGTTTCGGGGGTCCAACTTTCAAACCATAGTAGCATAAAAATTAATAATTTTGCCTAGCTACTGTTTGAGTGATTTAATTGGTGAGTAAGTATCCAAGTATAATAGGTAACAATATATGAGAAAATTATCATGAACAAAACACATGAATCGATATGTTTCACCCAAATTGATGCTATATAATTGTGGCGAATATTTGGTATCAATAAATCAATTTCAATTTATTATCAATCCCTCTTGTCACCGTTAACAATTGGCGTCTAGAAGGATAATATTTCTCGTTATTATAAATCTCAATCGTGTTCATCACGCCGTGACCCTTAGAGCTCAAAAAGAAACGTACATATTAAATTATATATTGAAAGAATATAAGTAAAAGAGAGAAAGAGATAGAAGGTGTGTAGGGCAGCAGGATTATAATCTACCAAATATCATCCATTATATTCATTACATCTCTGTTCATCAATGCCATCGTTTTTCCTTCTTAATATTACCCATATGTTAATAGTCCAAAATTAATAAAAAGTAAATAAATAAATAAATAATTTTTAAAAAAAATTTGCTTTTGTTGAAGCCTTTTAAATGAAAGCAGATCCTCACCGTCCGATGGTCTGTGTGGCAACCTCTGTAAGAGCAAACTAAACACCACACTCACTCCTCTGGTCTCCATCAGTAGCTGGTGGGTGGTGTTGGGGAGGTTGCCGCTTCTCTCTAGAATTACGGCCCTCATTCTTCCATTATCTCCGCCTCATCCCCCTTTTAGCTTTTCCAGCAATCAAGCTTCAACTCAAAAGGGATAGTTGATTTGATTAGGGCATGTTATATGTTTGTGTTTCTTCCTAGCTAGCTTTCCCTTGCTTCTTATTTAACCCTATATATCTCTTCTTATTCCTTTTTCTCCTTCGCACCAACATAACTCTTCTTCTTTTCCTTTTCTTGTCTTCCCCTTTCCCTTCCTCGGGATCTGATATCTCTCTCTCTGTCTCTCTCGACAAGAAGAAGACAAATCTTCAGACAACTTCTAGTTAAGTTAGTTCGAGTTCCATTCCCAACGAAACCCTTTTTATTGCATCCATTCGTCTTTCTGTGTTCTTTTCACGGAGTTCAGTGTAGACTTGCAAAAGTTCATTGAAAAGTCGGCTTAAGGTCTTTCTATCCTTAAGCTGATTGCTGCACGCCTCGCCAGTTTCACTAAGATCCGAGGAACAAGTTGTTAAGTTGGACAGGGCGTACTGATCTTGAGGATTATCAAGGTTGCTTTAACAGTTATTGTGAGCTTCTTATGTGTTCCTTTTTTCTTTGTTAACATTTTTTTTTTTTTTTTGCTGAAAGTTTCTTTGAATAATCATTCTTTGATGTTAAACGAAGAAAGTGGAGAATGCTTTTTCCGTAAGGTAATTGAGCAATGATAATTAGAACTCATGGAATGTTCCCAAAAGCTATTGTATTATAGCACATGAGTATTGGTGTTTCTTAAGATTTTCTTTACATAATGGTTTCAGTTTGATCTGTCGGTTTCAATTTCCATGTGGTTACTAGTTGATCCAGATTACAGCACAGCTCTTCACCGTATTTTCTGCCTGAAACTTGCCATCGACTATCGTCTTTGTTTTTCTCCCTAGCTAGCTAGGTTTTTGCTTCTCCCAATTGCATTAATTTCTTCTTTTCTTTTTCATCCAACTCCAAATTCTTTAAGGTGATCGAGATCAAACTGGCTTCTTTTTTCTTTTATTTTTTTGTGTCAACAAACTGGTCTATATGTTAATTAAATTCAATAATATCACATGTTTCAATTTTTCTCTTCAGTTAATCTATTTTGATATTTCCTCTTCTTCTTCTTTTTCTTCTTTGGACAAATAACATTGATTTTATTGTTTTTGATGACTAGAATTGTATCATCTAAGTTATCTATATTTGCTGTACAACAATATTAATTTTTTTTTTTAAAATTCTTAAACAATTACTCCTCTTATTTGTGTTTCACGAAGTAAAGTTATTGAAGCTTTTGATTCCATCTAGTTATCCAACATTCACTTTTATGAGTGAAGAATCTTCTTTTTGTTTACTAAATACTAACCAATCCTCAATTCATTTTACTTGGTTTTATAAGTTCAAGAAAACCTAGGGATATATATTAGATGATCATTATGAATTCTATATAAATATATATATGTGTGTGTATGCTTGTCATGAATTATGTGTCTTAGCTTAGATAGGCAAATTTAGAAAATTAGTATATGAGTGGAATGCTTATTAATTTAGGGTAGCATTTTTTCTTTCTTTCTCTGATTTTTTTTTTTTTTTAACAAGGGTAATTGGGGAAAAGGAGGATAGGGAGATTGTTAGTGCAGCGGTTAGAATTCTAGCATTTATCAAGAGTTTAGTGCACTTAGATCAATGCAGCCAAAGCTGCGGGTGCCTTCCTTTGATTGGAAATATTTTTGGCATAGCATATTAATTTATTTGGGAACAAAGTAAAGATTTTGTATATAGCCAGCTAGCTTATTACTTACCTAAATAGAGCTGAAACATTCTCAATTTTGCTTGTTCTGTGTGCCCATGCATTCATAATGTGATTAATGAAATAAAACCTGGAATTCAACAAGCTTGATTATTTGCTCCATAACTATATATGTTGGAAAGAAATGTACATTTCTCGGCGAAGTACTTTAGTTAGGTTTCATTCACATGTCTAGTCAAATTTGACTTCTCTGGCTAAGAATTCAGGCATGATTAATAAGCCATAATGTGAATTTTTGGTTTTGCCAAAGACATTGAGAAAAATAATCTCACAACATGATTAAAATAATAAACAGCTGAATAGGTTGGATTACTACTAGCAATAGCATGGTTTCAACTTTTCAAACTTAATTAACTGTACATCATTCTATTGCAGATAACTGATATATTATGTTGACCGTGTGGCATTTAACTTAATGCAGGTTTTGAGTAAATCTTGGGAGATCAATATGAATACTTTCCCGCATGTTCCTCCAGGATTTCGATTCCATCCCACAGATGAAGAACTTGTGGATTACTACCTTAGGAAAAAGGTTGCTTCCAAAATGATAGATCTGGATGTCATCAGAGATGTTGATCTTTATAAAATTGAACCATGGGACCTTCAAGGTATATATAGCATTGTCTGATGAATCATAAGAGGAGAGAATTTCTTCACAATGGAATCAATGTGTGTCACTAATTAACGCTGATTTTGCGGTTTAATTGTTTGGATAGAATTATGCAGAATAGGGAATGAAGAGCAGAATGAATGGTATTTCTTTAGCCATAAAGACAAGAAGTATCCCACAGGTACTCGAACCAACAGGGCAACAAAAGCAGGATTCTGGAAAGCTACAGGAAGAGACAAGGCTATATACTCCAGGCATAGCCTCGTTGGCATGAGAAAAACCCTAGTCTTCTACAAAGGACGAGCTCCAAATGGACAAAAGTCAGATTGGATCATGCATGAATATCGACTTGAAACAAATGAAAATGGAAGTCCGCAGGCAAGTATATTCATTCATTTTTCTGATGCACAAATACAAGAGAGTAGCTATTAGTTAATATTTGCTAATTTTAAAACCTTAACTCTGGAGTCAAGGTAGGAGTTGAGACCTCTGCAATGCAATAGCTAACCACACTATATGTTCTTTGCTGATAAAAAATACTTGCATACCATGATCAGGAAGAAGGATGGGTGGTTTGCAGGGTGTTCAAGAAGAAAATGGCAACAGTTCGGAAAATGGGAGAATATGATTCACCGTGTTGGTATGATGACCAGGTCTCCTTCATGCAGGAACTCGATTCCCCGAGGCGCATCCCTCAGCCTTACACACAATATCACCATCATTATCCTTGCAAGCAGGAGCTGGAGCTGCAGTATAATTTGCCACATGACCCTTACCTCCAGCTCCCTCAGCTTGAAAGCCCCAAAGTTCCACAATCAGGCACCAGAAGTGTTAGCTGCATTAATTCTGTTGTTCCCTTAGCTGGAAACACTTTGCAGTTATCACTGTCCCAAGAAGAACAAATGCAGCCAGGAGGCCACCACCAGAGCCTGAACTCAGTTTATGGAAACAGCAACGATCAAGCGGTGGATCAAGTCACAGATTGGCGAGTTTTAGACAAATTTGTAGCATCTCAGCTCAGCCATGAGGATGCTTCCAAGGAAAACAACTACTCCAATGCATCGACCTTTCAAGTTGCTGAACAGTTGAATATACTTGGCAGTGCTGAATCTGAAAGGTCATCAGAAATTGCTGCTCATCATCAGGAATTTGCCAGATTGATCTGTGGAAGTGAAGCTGTGAAAGCATATTCTACTAATTAGAGGATACATATGCAAGTACTAATTAACTATAGGAAGTACAAGTATAAGAATATATATAAGAAAGAACCTCGATCGATCCTTGATGGTTTCTGTACATGATAAAGCTAATGGTATTGCACTGGACTTATGGTCTCCTCTGTTTGGATTTATACCAGTATCTAGCTAGTTCCTTGACTGAAAAATGCAAGTAAAATAAACTAGCTTTCTTAGGGGACTATGGTTGAGTTCTCTTTGTGACTGACTCAGCCTATTAAAATGGAATGTATTGTCTTAAATAATTTGGAGTTCAATATATGCATATGAAAGGAATTTTTTATTTTCTTATATATGTTAGATTCATATATTATTTTCAACATGACTTCCACAGCTTAGAATTTGGCGAACAATATTTTGTAAAATTGTTTACATTATATATTTAATATTGTCACTTGTTTGCTGATCAAAAGATATGTAAGAATGTTTATAGAAAGTTTACTAATAATGTGGTGCGTTTCTCATGAGTTAATGAAGAAGCAGACTATCTCTCTTGCCTCTACAATTACCTTCAGGAAGGAAATGGAAAACATTTCCAAACATACCCTATGACATTCCTATTGTGGTTGGAACTTTGAAATATCCATGAAAAATGTCATCAAGTTCGTTCTATTTTTGTTATATATTTGGCTATATAGTAAGAAACTAATTAAAGTAGCATATGTTTAATGGAAATAAAATTGGCATGCCAGGAGTCCTAGTTATCATGCTTGTACTTGATAAGTTAAGAGGAGGGAGCATTTTATAATTAATGGCCGTGAAACACAATGCAACTAATTAAGATGGCTGTCAGTTCATGCAGACTGTTCAGTTTCAAACATTATTGTAAGAGGGCTAAGAAAATCAATAGAAACAGAATGAAGGATATGATTATGATAGACACATTCTGCAGGTCTTTTCTTTTCCTATATATATTTAGCTCATTTACATACCTGAAGCTAAATGGTTTGAATTAAAAAAGGAATCACAAAGCATCTCCATTGAAGAAGTGCATGCATGTTCCTGGTTCCCTGCAATTTATCCGGATTCTTATATCAATCATACCTTCAAAGCTTCAACTTGATAGCCAACCAAGAATACATAGAATTACATGAATATTCTTTAGCTTCCCAGGTGGCGCATGTAGCAGCATCCCAGAAGGTTGAAGCAAGAAGAAATGAGGAGGGTGGGAAAGAACTTAGACCGCCTGAAGTAAATTTACTTTGGCTCGACTATATAACAGCAGAAAGTAAATTTACTTTAGGTGTCGGATAATGATGAATAATTGAACTGGCCGGCAAGAAAAGTATTGTGCTTGTTCGGTTGTTTTTCATCTGGAGGCAATAGAGAGAGTTGACATGCATATCTCTTACTTGAGTTGAAGTCAAGCCTGAAAATTCCTTTTAAGCAATAAAAATTTTTCCAAACAACATCATCATTGAGCGTGCTCAACATCGACTCATAAATTCTCACTCATATGGGGGCAAAGCGAGAGATAAAGAGGAGGGAGAGTGACATACATTGCTCAGGATAATTACTGTTTCTAAGTTTGAAGTGGAGGCTTGCTCTTTCTCATTAGGGTTTCGTTTTGCACACTACTAGAAAACAGCATATAATCGATAAAAATATAATCGACAGTCAAAAAACTATCGATTTTACTTATATTATCAACAAAAACTATGTCGATTATAATAAAGTGTCGATTATATAGGTATAATCAACAACCGTTGTGGCTGTCAAATATACTGGCTATAATCGACAGCCATTTCTGTCGATTATAGGAAGTATAATCGACAGCCACAATGGTTGTCGAATATACTAGCTATAATTGACAGAAATGGTTGTCGATTATACCTAATACAATTTCATATATTTATATATTTAGTAATAAA